CCTCTATCAAGTATTTCCAAAGCCGTCAATTTAGTTTTCATAGAAACAACTCGTTGTCACATTTTATCAGTTTACATATTTAAATCTCATAATAAAAGAAAAAGTACAACTGGAATCAACGAGTTCAGAAAGCAGCACAGATGACTCTTGGGCAGCATACACACATGGACAAACTACAGAATAGCCACGAGATGAGCGAACCGAGTGTGCTCCAAGCACCGGGTGCTTCCCAGAGGAATGCAAAAGTCAGTTCATACAGCAAGTCCAAGCAGAAATAATCCACTTAGTATCTTAGTTGGAGATCATAGCTTCAATATTAGCATGCAACGATATTATGTTGAAGTTGTATTTGTAAACATTTTATCTCAAGATATCTTTCTTTCAAATACATACGAGAGGGTTAAAAGTGCCATCTTGTTTCATGGATGTCAAATACCTCTTGCTTCTAAATTGCACAGTATCGCTGATGAAACACGGAGGTAACACATCCACATTAGTGTTTTTCATTCTGAATTGTTACTATTCATGATGAAGCTTTTACTATTTACTAATGATAAAGTTAATTTGTATACTGGCACCCACAAAATGGAGGCTGCCCCAGGGGCCAGGCCATCGGGAAACTGAACCCACTTAAGTCAGCCTGCACTCATACCTGAAACACCTGTCAAGGAAACCGAACACACACCAATCACAGTCCTCCAACTCAGCCTTAGCTAGCTCACCGTACCCTAGGGAAAAGGACCTACTAACCAGTCATGACCTGTTTCCCTGTTGCCTCTTATTGCATTCTGTAAAACTGGCACTTGCCCAAAATCCTTCTTGAAGCATGTTCCACTGCTTGGGAGGCACAGTACTGCCCAATCCATGGATTATTTTTCCCTTGAATAAAGGGCATCAAACTCATTACTAATTGTTTTAGCTTTGTCATCAGATACTAATACACTTAAATGGTATCAATATCAAGGAGTGTGTGTAACAAAGCAAAAAATTTCTTCTTAGGACCTAATTTTCATCTTTGGCTTCAATTTTCTTCTATTGTTTATAGGTTTTTTGTTTTTTTTTTTAAAGACTTTATTTATTTGAGAGAGAGAGAATGAGAGACAGAGAGCAGGAGAGGGAGGAGGGTCAGAGGGAGAAGCAGACTCCCCGCTGAGCAGGGAGCCCGATGCGGGACTCGATCCCGGGACTCCAGGACCATGACCTGAGCCGAAGACAGTCGCTTAACCAACTGAGCCACCCAGGCGCCCCTGTTTATAGGTTTTCTTATGCTATTCCCCCATATTTGCTTTCCTTTTGGTCTAATTTGCCTTTGGTTCTGCCATCTGCTCTGCTCTAGCCAGATAAACTAATTTTATGTTGTTACATTTTACTTATTTAGAAAAAGCATGGCTGACAGTCAGCTAAAACTCTGGAAACCAAAAGTTGGCAAAACAAAGATAAATGATAATTTAAGCTTTATTCAGGAAGTGACTGTTCTCAGGATCTCAATAATAAAACATGAATTTAAAGTAATCAGTTTTCTACAATCTCTAAACTGCATGTAAGTAGTGAAGATTACCCTGAGAAATCTTCAATGGCAATCAATAAATTCTAAATTCTCCTAAATCTCTAAATTCTAAATAAAAGAGAATAGAACAGTTAACATTTGAAGGTTTGCCACAGGTCCAGGGATTGTGCTAAGCACTTTCTGAATGTTACCTCATTTAATCCTCCTGGAAAAGGGTCTATTTTCATTCTTTTATTTTTAATTTTTTTAATTGATGAGAAAATCTAGGCTTGGATCTAGTTTAGTGGACCCAGGATTCAAGGACAGGTCTGTAGGCCTCCAAAGTCCATGCTTTTTGCCAGAATATTATGCAGCAGTCTCAGAAGTTATTTCAAAAGAATTCCATCAAAAGACATATGCCAAGCTGTTTAAATCACCCTTTCTTTTTAATGGAAAGAACCACTGTAACCTGTTTAGCTCCTAACTCAGGACTTTCAACCCAGCCAAATCTGAATTTGTTCAGATTTGACCATCTGTTCTTACTTATACACATAAGTTCAAGATATTTTGCCATCATCTAAATCTCCTTTATTAAGATTTAATACATCTTCAATCCCTTTGTTAAAAATCATCATGCCATACACAAATTTAGAATTCAGGGAGTAGGTATGAGTCTCCATTAGAATTCCTCCAATATACAACTGTTTTGAAAAAAGGAGAAAGTGGAAAGAGTTCTAAAATGATACAAGCAAAAGGGAAAATGTATTGACACAACCTGCTGGGATGAGGCTAAGTAGTAATAAAATATGTTCTTATAATTCCTCTTCAAAATTACAAGGATAAGGGGGAACACAACTGCCCACTGAAGTGTAGACTGTGATTCTTTAGGAGCACAGTACGGCAAGGAGGAAAAGAGTGACTTTACAATGGAGAAAGAGAAACCTAACACTACCTCGGCCAGGTGACCAAGGTCAACATCAACAGGGTAAGTTGGGGCTATGGATCTTCGATATGATGTGATGGGAATGGCAATTTCCCTATGGGTTATTCCCCTTCCCAAAACTCATAACCTCAGTCTAATCCTAAGAAAATCACAAGATATAATTACAGAGAGACAATCTACAAAATATCTGACCAGTATTGTCAAGATCATCAAAAACAAGTCTGAAAAGCCACCACAGCCAAGAGGAACCTATGAAGACATGGAACTAAAAGTAATGTGCTATCCTCAATGGCATCCTGGACTAGAAAATGGACATTAGGTAAAACTTTAGAATCTCAAAAAAGTATGATGATAATGTATCATCAAAATTGGTCTATTAATTGTAAAAAAACATACCCTACAAATATAAGATGTTAATAGGGAAAGCTGGGCACAAGGTATACGGGAGCTCTGTACTGTCTTCCCAACCTTTCTGTAAAACTATTCTAAAAAAAATAATGTACTGGGGTGCCTGGGTGGCTCAGTCGTTAAGCATCTGCCTTCAGCTCAGGTCATGATCCCAGGGTCCTGGGATCAAGCCCCGCATCAGGCTCCCTGCTCAGCAGGAAGCCTGCTGCTCCCTCTCCCACTCCCCCTGCTTGTGTTCCCTCTCTCACTGTCGCTCTCTCTGTGTCAAACAAATAAAATCTTAAAAAAAGTGTACTTAAAAAAAAAATCCATAAGGATAATGTAAAACGGTAGTATAATGGGAAAAAAAAAAAAAAACCAACCTTGGATTTCTTTGGAACACATTCTCGTCTCTTTTTATCAATACTATGGAAAAGGTGGGGATTTTGTACCACTGAACTTCAAAATTCACTAAAGGGAAGCATATTCCCATCAAATACAATGAATAAAATCTAATTTGGGATTTTCATTACTTATATTCTGAAAATAAAGGACTATTAAAAATTATATTGGTTTCCGAATTTATTTTCAAAAGACCTAATATTCACCATTGCTAGAGTAAGTCATAGCATACAAAGCTATTTAAATCATAAATTATAGGGGCGCCTGGGTGGCTCAGTCTTAAGCATCTGCCTTTGGCTCAGGTCATGATCTCAGGGTCCTGGGATCGAGCCCCACATCGGGCTCCCTGCTCAGCAGGGAGTCTGCTTCTCCCTCTGCCTTTCCTTGTGCTGTCTCAAATAAATAAAATCGTCTTAAAAAATCATAAATTATGAAACGAGAATGGCAAAGAACCTTGCATGCATTCTACACCAATCTCTTGGTAAGTGCACTAAAACAAAGGAAATTTGCTCACTGTCAACCTACCATTTAGAAGTAACTCGAAGTCTGGTCTTTCAACTTTCAATTCTAAGATCTTCCCCTACACGATAATTCCACTCTGATTGCAGACACGTCAGATAGAGCCAATAATGTTTTTAAATGACATTCAAATATCTACATCCCTAAGTGTATTCTATGTAAGGGGTATTCTTTTGACGGGCAAGTGGGGTGGCAGAAGGGATGAGGAACCCATCAGTGTTACAAACTTCACATTTATATCTTCCTTGCATTCTAAGTTTTACAAAAATAGTGTTTCATTTACATTTAGTCCCAATGCTGTACAGGTAACTCAACTTAGAGAGTAGACAAATTCTGAACTTCATGCAGTATTTATAAATAAACTATTTAAGCTGTTACTACCACGTGTAGGTGATATATAGTTCTACTTATCACTAGTACACCAAGAGGAATGAGAAAAGAATACACCTCAAGATTATGCAATTCGAAATACTGTAATTAAAAAGCCTTGGGTTGGTCTGTTAACTTCTGACTGCAAGAATATTTTAGTTCCTAAACTAGACTTACTAAACCTAGCATCACTAAGCAAGATAAAGCCACGCAGGTAAGAAGTAGGGTCCCAACAATAAATGAGTAGCCTCGAATATAAATATGCTGATGAGATGCAAACCCTCCCTTTAGGAAATGACCAGTAAAAAGGTTTCTGATGATGCCAGTGTGGGACACCTGGGGTGATTCTGTTAAACTGTGCCCCAATCACATGCCAACAATGCTGTACGCATCTGGAAAGTTTTGACAGCACAAAACTAAACTCTGGTTTGCCCCATCAGAACAAGTACCTTAGAGCCCAGCCAATAATCAATGCACCAGCCAGATTCATCACGATCTACATAAGCTCTATCTATCCCAAAGGATAACATACAGACTGTTAGAAAAGCATTCCTTGGTACCAAAAATGGGGGATTAGGGTTATTAGACAGCTGGTACCACCACTTCCTCCTGTTACATGAAAACAAATAGGCCTCTTTCTCTTTTGCTCTAAGTTTAGTATTAAGAGCATGTAATTCAATAAGCTCACTGGAGCGGATAAAGATTAGGATAAACTGTTATCCTCCCTCTCTTTAATTTCCCCACTTAATTTAAATGGCCAACTAAAACAAGAGATACAATCTATTTGTACTCGAGAGAAACGTCAATCAGGAAATCCGTAATAGGACAGACAAAAATGTTATGTTTTCTGGCAGGCAATACATATTTTTGAAGATAAAATGGAAAAAACACAGATATGAGTGAACAATTTTTATTGAAACCCTCAAAGATTAAAGAGGACCAAATGGTGAGTTTGGGTACCATAACAGAAAATCTCACCTAACTGTACCATCATTCACAGGAATGAACAAACCCAAACACGACAAAATTCAAATTCTCATGTAATTGCTACAAGTGAATGTAAATGAGCTAATCATTTTATCATAACCTTTCTTTAATCATACGAAAAAGGGAATTTACATGGCATAACAAAAGATATGCAAAACTTAATGAAAACACAATTCTCTTAAATTTTTCAAACTTATTTTTATAGGATGCAGAATGCACTTGAAATGATTAAATGACTTAAGCTGATTCTTTTTTTATTGCAAACTGTTTTAACATCAGCTTAACCCCCATGCATGATATTCAAAAAGAACACAGCTTTTGAATTAGAAAGATCACTTGAGTTAAAATGAGGAATTAAGTATCGAAATTAGGAAAAGGCTGGGGTTTCTTCTGAAAGGAATCTTCAAGTACCAATACGTATAGAGAAAGAATACTAATTTTGGTTACATTTTCCCCCTTACTGTTAAATATACAAACTATAATACCTTTCAAAATAAAATACCCACATAAGATAACTTTAATAAGAAACATTCAAACCAGATCTTGGAAAAATATTAAGCAAGAAGTTTACTGGGTCAATAATGTCTTAATTTGTGATTATTCCAACATTTGATGATGTGTCTCCTGCTGTAGAGCCCAGGTTCTCTCCCTTTTGGTCCCTACAGTTAAGAAATATTTAGTTAGTTGTGCTATTGAGACAATCTGTAATAATTTCACTTAGAGAAAAAAACTTTTGCCATACATTGACAGACCAAAGAGGAAGAGAAGGTAGGTGCTCTGAAGAAAACTTAAATGAGAAAAAAATTACCAATTTTGAAAAGTTTTTTTTGTTTTTTGTTGTTTTTGTTTTTTTTTTTTTCCCCAAAGGAATGCTGCACCCATTTCACTTAATATTAGAAATCCAGGTTAAAGGCACTGGGATGTACTCCTCACCATGAGCAGACTACTCAACTACATCTGACATCAGAGTCTGCTATTGCAATCAGCCTGCTTGCTGAGTGAGTGACACTTCTTACATAGAAACCTACTGTAAATTAAACAAGTTTGAATCCACTTATAATGTAACTAGTTTTATAAAAATATTCAGAGTTGCTAATAAAGCACCAAGAAAAAGAGAATCTCAGAGAGGATTCAGACCCGTCCTACAAGGTCACCCCTTTATAGTTTTGTCTAATAGGACCTCCAGAGTGACAACAGTCATCTTTGACATGTCCTACCTATATAATCTTAGGGATGTAGAACATTGCTATGGTGACTATACCCAAATGCCAATTTTCACTATAAATAGTTAAGAGACATGTTACAAGATTTCATGGCTTACTCTTAAAAAGGTAAAATAGGTGCAATTTTCCTTTAAGAAAGTCTTTATAGTGTAATATACCATTAACATTTTGATGTTCCCTTCAGTAAACACTGATATAACTACACTGGGACTACCAAAGAACTGTGAAGTAGCTACGATTACCTACAAATACTGTATTTTTTTCCACTTGAATACAGTATTTGTACATTTAAGAAAACATTGTACAAAAAAGTTATATAAATGAAAGCCTCAAAGAAATATCTGTCACTAAATTTTTGAATTGAAGTGACCAAAGACCATAGTAAATGAAAACATTTCTAAACATGATGTAAACATAAATGGAGTAATGCAAAACATCAAGGTATTCAAATCTACTATATTGCTATTTTCACCCTTAATGTATCTTTCTACATAGTTTTCTCCTTTTGGAACAGTAATATAAGGGGCAGTACATTATCTTCATAACCTTATGCCATCAAATCAATTAATACAGATGCTTGACACATTTAATTATACAAAATCAATTTGTTTCAAGTTACAAAATTAATGTTGATATGTAATTAATGAAAAAAAATAAGATGTTAAAAAGATAACTATAAGAATACCCAGATATATGCTGTATTCCCATTTATATAGATCTGATCAATAAAACATCAACACATTCACTTAGATACTGATTTATCCATGGATCAAGGCCATATTTTCAAAGTATTTTAAGGATGCCAGGACACTGCAAAAGCTGGAGAAAAGAGTTGAGGAACAGTATATGCTTGCTAAACAAGAACTATGTTTATTTAGCTAGTGAATACCTAGAGTAATAAATTTTTACTTCATGATAGCAATCAGGCTCGCAAACACCCAGAAAAGGAATTAAGGGTTTTAAATGTAGTTATAAAGGTCATAAAAAGTCTGATTAGACTGAGGTACATTTACTCAAAATTTTGAGATTCATTAAGTGGTAGCAAACAAAATAATTCCTCAGACAAATGCACATTTTTCAGTATACATATTATTGGGGGAAGGAGGGGAGAAGAATGTGCATTAACTGGTGAAATCCACCAAGCTGCATATCAATATTCTGTTACACCAAACAGTTTGAAGACAAGGGAAATGTTCTAATATAATTTCAGATTATGTTTCATTTGGCTAAAATAGAGCTTAAGGTTGCTTTGCCATATTAAAAGTTTACTACAATAATTTTTCACATAAACATTTAGACTTGAACTCCAGGACTAAATATGGCATGATTATTTTGCTTTTAATCTGTCAAATAGCTAAAAACTGACAATTTAAAAACTACAACAAAGAAAAAGTTGAAGCAGTGTGACTCTTACATCATTGAACCACTTCTAATGGTTAACTGTTAGTACTTAACAAATTCAAAGAGTTAATGAATCCTTGCATTCATTCAGTCTTCTGTGCCTTAGCTAGGATGCATAATTACAAAAGACAGCAGATACTGGTAAAAGCTTCAGGACAGAAAGTGCTTGACAAAGTTACAGTTCTCAAGTGTGTTTGGTGAGAGTATAAGGGCAGATGCGCTGATGAAAACCATTACAAGAAGAGTCAATTCTGTGTTAGAGTTCAAAGATGTCACCTTAAGCAGAAAAAAAGCTTTAATAATGTCTTCTTTGACTTATTAGGCATTTCCAGAGTCTACATCATTAGTGTTGTAATTCTAACAGGACATCTTCATATGGTTATTGTTTGTTTCTATTTCTCTCCTGAAAGAAAAACACAAAAAATTTTAATAATATACTATCATTATTTAAAAATTTAAATTATTTGTACTATAATGCAAACCATCTTCATAAAAACTTCTTCAAATACTAATTGGAGTAATTAAAAAAGATTTACTACTACCCATACACACCATAGAGGGATGATTACCACAAAACATTTTAAAATAAAGCAATCCAAACACAAAGACCTATTTCAGGAGAGTATGGCCCCCTCTATAGCCCTACTTTCCCACAAGATTTTATTTAAGGTGAGAATATGAAATGTCTTTTTAGGCCTTTCAGTGAGTTTTTAATGGTGACGTATCAAATAGACTAAAAGGCCTCTGAAGCAATTTTAAAACTATTGGCTAGGTAGAGTTAGAAGGAAAGGAAGAGTTGCATTAAATTGCGTTCAAGTTGCATTACATTAAGATTCTATTGTTAATTGAAAAATACTATGAATCATAAACTTCCTCTATATCACATTCTTACATTCATCATATTGTAACTTTTTCATATCAAGAAACATGATTATTTATTAATTCCTTTAAGAAAGTGGAAATCCCTTGAACAAAAAGTTAAACTGAGTGATGTTTTCACGATGTTTATTAACCAAATATTTATCTATAGTACTTCTGTCTGTGAAAAATGGATGACCAGTACTGTGCATGTCTATCAAGTGAATGTATCATATAGTTTGTTTGCATCATCTTGTTTCATTTTTTTTTAAAGATTTTATTTATTTATTTGAGAGAGAGAAAGAAAGTACAAGTGGGGAGGCGAAGGGCAGAGGGAGAGGGAGAAGCAGCCCCCCCACCACCACCAAGCAGGGAGCCTGATGAGAAGCTGGATCCCAGGACCCCGGGATCATGACCCAAGCCGAAGGCAGATGCTTAACGGACTGAGCCACCCAAGTGCCCCTAATAAGTTTGAACTTCTAACAAGTTCACAGGTGATCCAGACACTGCTGGTCCAGAGAACACACTTTGAAAACCACCTGTGTTTAAACAAATTATAAGACTCACTCCTTCTGTTTTCACTACTCCCACTTTATTTTTCCATGAGTAATACATGTTCCATAATAAATATGAATACACTTTGCAAATGGTCAAATTAGTTTCCCATCCTGTGACAGCATCAGAAAACTGTATTTTATATTCTAAAGAGAACTTTTAAGTTCTTTGTTACTAAATTCCTTTCTTTTTTAATTTACTCCTAGAACTTGAAGAACAGTATTTTATACAGAAAGCTAATAAAATAAATGCCCTACTACATGACAGCTACAAATAATTTTATACACACATTAGTGGGAGACTCTGAAATTAAATAAAACAAAATGAAAGCAGACACAAAGCTAGCTGACTAATCACATTTCAAAAGGATAAACAAAAACAAAAATCCAACAACATAAAGAAAAAAAAGACAAAAAGAGAATTGATACCAGGAAGCTATAGTCTAATTTTATAAAGGCCCTAAGCTCTTAAAAAAAATCCTAAACATAAAATTCAGCTCTAAACTGAAGGAAACAAATAGATTTGTATGAAAAATTTTGAAGCCTGCTTTAATTAGCCAGATATAAAAAACCAGAGAAATTCATCAACTCCACGAAGAGCCCCAGAAGTACAGACAAAAAAAAAAAAGGCACTATTTAAGGATATGTTAGACAAAGAGAAGTTTAACTCAAGGGAGATGATCAGCTATATCAGTGAGGATCATGTATTATTTAAATAGAAGTTAGAGATGCTATTTCAGTTTGAACAGTAATCAACTATCGCTTCTCGGCCTTTTGGCTAAGATCAAGTGAACAGTAATCAACTATGCACTTTAACTGGATCAAATTTAAAATATCTAAATTACACATGTATTATAAATCTATGTATGTAATGTGTAACTTCGAAAAAAAGGAAAATAAAAAAGAAATCAATCCAACAGAACAGATGGGTCGGGGGTGGGGGGGCTTGAATGATCTAGATTTAATTAGAAAGTATAAAATAAGACAGCAGAAATACACATTTATATCAAGCATCAAAAAAATGTATGTTCATCAATGAAAACATAACAGTTCAGATGCTTCAAAAATCCAGTTATACATGATTACAAGAAAACAACCTAAAACATAAGGACACAAAGTTAAAAGTAATGAAAAGACGTAAGACAACACAAACAAAATAAAGACTGACACAACTATATTACTACCAGACAAAACTGATTTGAAGGCAAAAACCATTGTTGGGGAGATAAAATGGTCACTACATACTAAATTACAGACATTTTTAAAATAAGCTTGACAATATTAAACTAAAAAAACTTTACATATATTAGAAGTTGTCAGAATTATAAAGAAAATTTGACAGGCTTCTCATTATAGCCGAAGAATTTAACACATTTCTCTAAGTAATTGGTAAAACAGAAATATTAGTAAAAATACAGACTGAATATACATAATACAGAAAACGGAGGCAATTATAGGGTACCCTGAACCACCACAAAAGGTGACTATATGTCAGACTAGAAAGCAAATCTCAATAAATACCAAGAGTCCATGTCATGCAACATCACATTTTCTGACATCAGTTTTAGAAGCAAAACAGATAAACAACAACAAAACACTGTACCCACATTTGGAAATTCTAAAAACACACTTCTAAAAGTCTCCCAAAAAATCATAATGGAAATTCAAAAATTTTTACATCAGTACAATGAAAATGCTTAGTCTAAGCCCCACCGAACACTTAGAAATTTACATGTGCAAAACTGGGGGGGTAAAAAAAAAGCTGAAAAATAATGAGCTCATCATCCAACTTAATATGTTAGGAAATGAGTAATAAGTCCCCAAAAGTAGAAGGAATGAAATAAGATAGCAGAAGAAAATAATGAAACAGAAAACAAGAATAAAGAGAACCAAAGAGAATAAAAATTGGTGCTGGCGGGGGGAAGAGCTAGTGTCTGGGGAGAAAAAAACCTAACAATAGCAGAAAAATCTCTGGGAAGACTGATTTAAAAAGAAGATGCATTTAATATCATGAAGACTGATACAACTAAAAAATAAAAATACTATTCATGCCAATATGCAAAAAAAAAAAGAACCTTAAAACAACTTCCTAAAAATGTAATTTACCTACATACAATTTACCAAACCAAACTCAAGAATAAACAGAAAACCTGACGAGACCTGTAATAACTAAAGAACATAAATCAACAATTAAAAATCTACCCCACACATTCATCTAAAACTAATGATGTAATGTATGGGGATTAACATAAGAATAATAAAAAAAAAAAAATCTACCCCACACAAAAGCCTACCAGGCTCACGTTTTTGTCTGTTATGTACGTACGTATGTATGTATGCATGCATGAGTGCATGTATGTAATCTCTACACCTAACGTGGGACTCAAACTCAAGACCCTGAGATTAAGAGCCAGCCAAGAGCCCCCAGACTCACATGGTTTTAGATGTACATTTAATTGAGTTTGTCCTAGAATTGATCATTCTAAACTTAACACCAACTATTCCAGAGACTAGAAAAAGGGAGACTATTTCCTGAGTATTTTGAGGTTAGCAATACTTTGATACTAACAGTGTCAAGAGAAGAATGAAAAAGTAACAGTCTAGTCTCACTTGTCACAAAAGGATCTCTTAAAGGCTGTTTTGCTGGTAACAGACTGTAGAGGAGCAAAAGTGAGAATGGGAAGGCCAGTAAGGCTAGCACAGTAATAATCCAGTACAATAATAACAGCCCTGAGATGGGGATGAAAGATGCAGAGCTAGTGAAGAGCCTGGATTCGGGATACATTTTGAAAGCAGAATCAACAAGACTGACTTACTATTGTGTCAACTGATTAGATGCGGAGTGAGAAAGAAAAGTATCAAGAATGAGTCCCGTGACTGGAAGGGCAGTGACCTGTACATAGAGAAGGCTGGGGGCAGGCAAAGAAACAGGAGAGTTATATTAGATTTCAGATGCTTATTAGACAGCCATGAGAAGACAGGCAGTTCGGTGAGTCTGGAGACAGGAGGAAAGCTCCAGGGTGGGCATATGAACTCGGAAGTCCTCAGCATAGTAAATGTCCACCAACTTTTAAAACTCAGGTCTTCCTGAATATGATCAATACCTTGGCTTTGAGACAACAAAACCCACATTTACATTAACAAGACCTAGAACTGAGCCTGACACTGTTAATATTAAATAAATATTTAAATATAATGAGAGATCTAGGGCATGCTATCAACTACAGACCACCAGAAATAGGAGACTAAGCAGTATGGAGCTATCAGTGATAACTTCTTGTGCTGTTCTAAAATGAGATACATATTACACAGCTGACATCATAAATTACATGTACTGGCGTGTCATTGGGAAGTAACACAGGGAGAAAGAAAACCTGAATTATACAGAGGGAGCCATGGTCCAGTACACCTAAAGGACTATGTCTTTAGTGATAGTTCAGAAGAAGGCACTTTAAACACACACTCTTTAGGACACAAACTTTCCAAACTTTTAATAACCACTGACAATTCAAAAAACAATTGGCAGAGAGATCCCTCCCTCTCTCATTTTCCATTAATAGAGCTAGGCCTCAACCAGGCAGATTTGGGGATTTGAGGGCTTTTGAATCTCTAGTATAGGGCTTCTTCCCCACCTTGAGCTGAGCAGACATTGGAGACCAACATATGATCCTAAGGCCCAGACCCAGAACTTGGCCTGTGGAGACGAGCTCCAGGAGGAAGTTTACTTGCCAACCCATGTCTTTTTGACTGAGCATAATGGATGAGCTAAGACTTCCCTACCTAGTAAACAGCTGGAAAACGAAATTTTCTTCAGGGTCCTCAGAGGGGCCAACAGCTTGCCCTTAATGTTATTTCCTTTTAATCACTGGTAGGTTTATCACTATTAGTGATATTTCAGTCACCAGACCTGAGACTACATAAGCCACAAGGGAAAAAGCAACTGTGTATCTAAGAAGCCACACCATCCAAAAAGAAAATGAGAATAAGCACTAGGAACATAAGTACAATACAAGAGAACTGCAGAAAGAGCCAGTGAATACCTGGGAGGGGTGGGGGAGGAAAGAAAGAGAAAGAGAGAAAGCAGGCAGGCAGGCAGTCACTTGAGACCCAAATGCAACAAACACCTTTTGTCTAGCTTAAAAATCTGACTTCCAAATTGAAAATTTCAGTAGATGAATTAAAAGGGGAAAATGGTCACTGCCTCATTTAAGGAGTAGAATATTAAGTCCAAGAATTACCTCAAATTACAAAGCAGGAAAAAGAGAGCTGGATATCACAAAGGAAAAAAATAAGAGAACTGTAGGATAGATCTAAAACAAAATGAATATTCTAGAAGTAGGAAAAAGAACAAATACAAGAGCTAAATAAATAACAACTAAATAACAACAAAAAGAATTTCACAAATTCTTTAATATTCTTTCCTGCATGAGGTGGGGGGCTTGCTTTTCGTCCTCTAAAGTGTGGGGCTGGACATTCTGACTTGCTTCTAATTCTAAGAACAGAGTATGCAAAGAGAAAAAAGGGATATTTACATTAGAGAAGCCTAGCAAACACAACCTTAACCAAGTAATCAAAACTAGTATCACTGAGTAGTAAGTTACATATAATCAGATGAGGACACACCACTTATGCAATATTCTTCCCATAAACTCAGTCTAATCATGAGAAAGCATTAGGCAAACCAACACTAAAGACACCTTATAAAACTTACCTGACCAGCAGTCTTCAAAAATGTTAAAGCCATGAGTGGCAAGGCAAGACAGAGAATTGTCATAGCTTAGAGAAGACTTAGGAGACATAAAAACTAAATGCAAAACTGGTTTTCCAAATCTTGAACAGAAAAAGACATTAGTGGGAAAAGTGGGGAAATCTGGAAAAAAGTCTGTAGTTAACAGTACTGTACCAATGTTAATTTCTTAGTTTGGATAAACATACTAGCATTATGTAACATATCAATATTAGGAGAAATTATATATACAGAAACATCCTGTATTATCTTTGTAACATTTCTGCAAATCTAAAAATTATTCAATATAAAGTTTTAAAAAAGCATGATAAAAAGTTAGAAAAGTACAACTCCCAAATGTATTAAATATCAGTGCTATAGAAATATGAAATACATAGATGTTCTACAGGGTATTGTTAATTTAATGGCTGCCCAGCTTCTCTTTTTATTGTTTATGGGGATAAGTGTTAAATTCTGAAATTTAAAGTTAAAACCAGTAAATTATCAGACTTCATTTTTAAATTAAAAAAAGGGGGGGGATAGGCATGTTTCAAAAAAGACAAATTATATATGAAGAATGACTATAGTTAAAATATATAATACATTCAATTCTTCAGTAAAATTAATTACTTACCAGGAATAAAATCTACTCAGATTGGCTTACAAGACTGAAAATTTCACACTAGAAAGAACAAGGGCAGTAACAGATGGATAAAACCCCCAGCTGTTCAAAAGCCTGTACATTTGTCCAGATCCATTAAAGTGCTTTAATACTGAGATAAGCTTCTGACCTGTACTGTCCCAAAAACATGATCAATCATTTTGCATTAAGAAAGCAAAAGACAAAGAATATAAAGGAAACAAACCAATTCTGTACTGTAAAATAAATTCAAAATTAAAAAAATCATCACAGGAAAGGACAATGATTATGCTTTGGAGGCTCTGTTTTAGGAAGCCAACTTTTCAATTTTTTTAAACTTGCTTGTCTATGTAACTGAGACGTAACATTCTTGATCCTCTGCATGACCACACTATTAATAAAAAAAAACTGCTTTAAAAGATTCCAGTGCCCAAGTTTGCATTTACAGAATAAAGAAGTATTTCAGGGTTTGAATAAGTATATGCAGTCTGATAATTCATAAACAATTCAGCTGTACCAACCAAAGATAAGTAATCTCAAAGTGTACTATAAAATGGAAGAGTTAAGAGTAAGTTCAAATAGTGAAAAATGGTGGAAAGCCATAATATGTGTCAGTTTAGGTCCAAATGAGAGCGACAGCATGATTCTAAGAAGTCTTAGAATTAGGACTAATTTTGTTTGAGCTGTGATTTAGTTTCAAGAAAATAGCATCACTCATCACACTAAATTAACTTTTTTGTTGATGTGTAGCCTTATTTTGGTTTTAGAGTTTTCACTTAATTTCACATTTAAGTTACACTATAAAATTACATACAAAAATGAAGCATAAAGATCAAAAAGAAAGAAAATGGTCTCTATTTACACACAACGTGACTGTTAGGCAGAAAATCCTAAGGATGTTCTATTAGAACTACTAGAACTAATAGGTGAATTTACGAAAGTCACAGGACATAAAATATTTCTATAAATCAGCAATAAACAACTGAAAAAACTGAAATGACAATTACATTTACAATAGCATTAAAGAATATAAAATACTAAAAAAAAAATTAAAAATTAAATATATAAAATCCTTAAGAATAAATTCATCAAGAGACATGCGCAGGTCCCCAGCACTGAAAAATACAAAACTTCACTGAGAGAAATTAAGTGTCTGTCTGTCAAGCAGATTGAGTTCTACAAAGAAAGGGCTATTTATCTTTAGTGGCTCACTGGTAACCTTTAATATTTACCTGTTGACTGAATAAGAGATCACAGTTAAGAAAAGAACATACAGGATCAAAATATATGGTGATATAGGTTGACCAGAACACAAGATGTGTGCTAGTTTTCTCACATAAAAAGGATGGTCTGGGGACCCAGGAACAGAGGTTCTGAAAGCCAAACAAAGGAATCCATGTGCAATTCCATCTGGGATCATATTTTAGTCTGTTTACAATAAAATGAAAATAATAAAATTATTACATTCCAGACTTTCATTCACAAGTGGAATTTTTCACTAGTAGCTTTTTTATATCTTAGTTCTTTTATTATATATCGTATAATCTTTTTTATTCCCTTATGTTATTTCAAATACAAAAAAATATCAGTATTGAATATGTAATGTCCAAGAATTGAAATACCTTTCAATAAATTCAGTTTTCTGTCAGGACACAGTAAAGTCAGTTTCACTCAGTAATTAGAGTGTGATATAAATTTCTAAATTAAGAAATTGCACATCAAAATTTTAAAATAATTATAAGTAAATAGGAAAGATAATTCAACAACTTAAGTTACTTCCTGAAACTTAAAAAAGATATTTCATATTAACCTAAATACGTTCCTGCAGTTAATTAATCATGTATTTGCTGCTCAAGAAAAATAAATAACTGAAATACCATTAAATTTAATGATGACTGTTCATACTGTAATAGGTATGAAAGAAGTATCTCCGAAAGATCTGTAATTAATCCAGTAAATTACAGATAGTTCATTTACTAAATTCCTAAAATTCTTTATCAGCACTGGAACAAAATATAGCCACTATTAACTCTCCTATGGGGCAACAATATTAATCTGAGAAAAAAACAGAAACAAATTGGTATTATAAAATGTTAAATCAAAGCACCTCTTTTTCCACCTCTGGCCTACAAGGAGTATTTACCAAGTTCAAAACAGAGTCTACTACAATTAAAACTGTATCATCTTTTTTTTTTTTTAACTGTATCATCTTGAATATACAAAATGTCACTCAATGTTTTATCAGAGAATTTGTCACTTAAATATGCAATATAAAAGTTTATGGTATCCGGGTACCTGGCTGGCTCAGTCAGTATAGCATGCAACTCTTAGGGTCATGAATTCAAGTCCCACGTTGGGTGTGGAGCCTACTTAAAAAAAAAAAAAAAAGCTTATGGTATCCAGGTGCCAAAATCTACTTTCCAAAGAAATATTCTCCAAATTTTAAAGTAAAGATAAAAGGAAAAGCAAGATTTTATGTACTAAATTTGTTTCTGTTAATCATAATCAACTCATTCAATAAAAAGGAAGTCCATCCATAAAAAAAATTTACCAAAACGTAGTTGAGCACAGACTTTGATTCATTCTTCATCCTAAGCACTATAATTTGATTAATGGGAAAGCATTAAACTAAATGTTCTACTTGAGAAAAAGAAATATAGAACTGTCAGGGAAATGCTGACTGTTGTCACAGGTACAGTTATCGTTGAAGTGACTTTTTTTTTTTTAAGATTATATTTATTTTATTAATTTGACAGAGAGAGACACAGCGAGAGAGGGAACACAAGTAGGGGGAGTGTGAGAGGGAGAAGCAGGCTTCCCGCTGAACAGGGAGCCCGATGCGGAACTCGATCCCAGGACCCCGGGATCATGACCTGAGCCGAAGGCAGACATTTAATGACTGAGCCACCCAGGTGCCCCTGTTGAAGTGACTTCTTGTATATTAACAAAATCCTGGTTACTCTGAGAAAGACCTAACATCTCAGAATTAAAATTATTCCCATTATGAAAAATACTGTATGAGGTACTAAAACTTACTCTTTCAAAATACCTAACAATATAAAATAGTATACATGACTAAAATTCATAGAAGATTCTAGAAATTAAAACCATTTAATAAGGATTTTATTATAATTATGCCTTGCTTAATTCTACATAAACTGCAGGTTTTCATCTCTTTCTACGCAACTAGGTAAATGCCATATTTTGGAAATCCATCTCAAAGTTACAGGCAATTGAAAACTCCAATTTCTTTCTTTTTTTTTTTCTTTTAAAGATTTTATTTATTTATTTGACAGAGAGAGACACAGCGAGAGAGGGAACACAAGCAGGGGGA